TAAAAAAATACCAATTTATGAGAGACTTGGGTTATAGTTTCTGATTTATACCTTGTGCGTCCCTGGAGATACTGATGCTGACCTTGCCATTTTTAAGAGAGGGACAGTGTTAATTTTCAGTCAAATTTTCAGACAAAGACAAGTTTAAAGATCAGTAAGGAAGGAGACTGACTGTCCCAGCAAGAAGTTATGGGGAGGCAGTAAAGCAAACTGAGAAACATGAAGCATTTATTATTCACTGGCAATAATGGTTTCCTGTTAAAACTGGCTGTTTGACAAAGGTGATGAATTTAATTCCTTGCTCTCTCATTGGACAGTTGGGGAGTTAGCATGGGACAGGAGCAAAAAGTCTTCTACTTTCTCTAGAGAGTAAGCTAAAGCTAACCAAAGCTAAAGTTTGGAAGGTGTTCAGGAACCACTGTGAGGAATTTAGTGATTATCAAAACTACAAGTGTCAAAAAGATTGGAGGACTTAAGTTGTCCTGGAAGCCAAGCCGTTGTTCACCCCCACACACGTCCATATGTAAGCAGCTCAGTGAGCGCTCGTCTAGGACATATCCTGCAAAATAGCTGCAGAGCAACTTCTTGTGAATCTCAGCACAATTTAGTGCCTGTCAGGAAGTGACAACGAGACTGTGGGCTTTTTAAAGATCTCATATTGACAGTGAATGTTTTGCAAGCTCAGATTGCTGAAAGGCTTGAAACTCATTATCTCTTGTAAAAACCTGACAAATATTGGACATGTGATGAAGGAAGAGGCCTTGTTTTACACATCATGTCAATTTTTAGCTTTTCTTTTAGAGCCCCTTATGCTTTTAATGACTGCAAAAGCAAAACAGCTTCATAGCTGCTCAGACTTGTAGTGAAGTTATTTATTAGGTGCTATTTCAGACTCTGTGCTTGGACAGGCTGGGTTGTAATATTAACCTCCAAATTAGTTAGTAGTGCTGCTGAAGGATGTTTTCCAACATCTGTTTTTAGCACTGTTAGAATGGAGCTTGGAGTATGGATTGTTTAAGGACTTTTTGAATGGGGCCACACTGGAGACGAGCTGCGGTGATTCTGCCCACAAATCAGAAAACACTTCATATTTGCCCGTACCACATGCCGGAGCAGACAGACGCAGCTGAGCCTGCTGCTGAAAGAGCAGCATGTTGCAGAGGACATCTTATCAGAAGTGTTGTGAAGAGAGCTTTAAAGGCCAGTATCTTATAGGCAGAGACACCCGCTCATTGCATATTAAGAGCACTGGTTTGAAGACATGTCAGGTTTGGAGGTCAGTCAGAGCTGCTGTATTATCTGCACTGTGTCAAGACCTTATCTACAACTGTCTGAATGTTAAAATGGCGAGTCCATCGGGATGCAGATACAATTATAGAGACATAAACATGCTTATACATTACCTCTGGGAAGTAACAGTTTTAAGTGTCCTGTACTAGGATCAAAGCCACCATACCGAGGATGTTAGCAATGTAAAGCTGTGACTAGGCTTTCTCCTTTTTCTGTTTATCCAGAATAGTTGATGCTTTTAAAGACAGAGCAATTATCCCTGTCTGTCATCTGAAGGTTACTGCTCTCACTGCTAACCCAGCAGAAGACATCGCTTTTTATGCTCTTGCATGTACATTAGGCTAAAATGACTGCGCTCACCCCAGTTTCCAGTGGAGTTTGAATTAGCTCAGGTGAGGCTGCCTGAGAATACTCGGATGTTCTTCGAGAAAGATGTGTATTTCACGTTACCTTTTGATTGCTGTGGGGTCCCATGCCCCTCCCTGTATTCACACTTTCAACAAACAATAATAAGAAATATCCACTCCAGTGTGATGAGACTTACACTGCAAATGCAGAATTACAGTGGCATCACAACTGTTTATACAAACATATTAAGAAATAAATATCTCTATATATCCAATGCCTTTAGAAGACACACCCTTTTAATGCTGGCAGTGTATTGTTTCTTTCTTTTTTTCTCATAGCGAGTGCCCTGTGAAGCACTGGAGCAGGCTGCTGATAGCAATATAGGTGACACCCCACAGGAGGAGGTTCTCCCCAGCTTTGAACTGGCAATCTTTTCCAGCTGTTTTCAGATGCCACTTTAATTGTCACCAAATAAATTGTTGATATTTTTCCCATTTTTGCACAAGAACAAGCATGAGGGAATTCACTGGGGTTACAAAGTGGCTACTTATATGCTACTAAAGCTGTTTCTGAGTCTGTTGATGTTCCTTGGGAGTTTAACAGCCGTGATGTACCTCAGCATATTATTTGCCTATAACTTTTATCCCCATGTAAAAGTTACTGAAAATAAGCACATTAAGAAGAACGCTCTAGCAGTTATGACAGCTGTAAGGAAACTCCATGAAGGACACTTTTTTCTACCTTTTCATCCCCAGAACTATAATTTCTGATGGAAATCTTAAAATTGGCCTGAAAGCACAGGCACAGTAGTGGGATGCATGCTTGTATCATGCCAGTACTTTTACGTGTTCGTCTGCCTTTTCTCTTCCCTTAGTGTACCTTCACCGTATCCTATGTCTCTCCATTAAGAGGCCTTAGGTGTGTTTCTGCAGGGACACCTGCAAACCTGACAGCTGCCGCTGTGGAGCTTGAAGCAATTCCAGAGTGAATGTATGAATCTTAGCAGCTAGTGCAAGAAGAGACAGAATTTCCAGTTGAAAGCTATCATAAAAGCATATCCTCTGTGTATTGGACACAGATGTGTTGTATAACACATTTTCTGACCAGTGGGTTACACAAACAAAGTGTGTGACAAGTGGCTGAAATGTGAAACATGTACTTTGGTGATTCACTCCATAATTCACAGATTAGTGTACTTTAAAGTACAATATCCCTTCTTAGAAAGTCTCGTTGTGTGAGCAATATTAAACAATACTGTCTTGCCTGTCACAGTTATGCACCTTGGCCCCTTTGAGGTCTTTATTACAGGCTTTGAGCAGCAACCTAACTCAAGATAGAGTTCCCTGCCTGAGAATAAGACCTGGGACAAAGCTTAATTGGATGACTCTGTATTATTGCCCTTCAGAAATGTTGGAACATCAAACAGCCTGTAAGGCCAGTGATGAAACTGTGGAAAGCACTGTTGAAACTAGAAGCAAATACAACAAAATGTTAGGGAAGTTTATTTCAGAACTAAAAAACCCACAGATGGGCATATTCAGAAAGGGGACTTCAGCAGCTGCAACATGCAGGACATTGTCTTTTGCCTACCCTGCCAGCTAGCTGTGTTCATGGCTGTGAAAGAGAAGCTCGGGCTCGCAGCCTAGCCTATGGGGCAGCCAGACCTCTAAGCTGATCTTACTGACTTGAACATGTGAGTAACAGGCACAATTTAACCTCTGCGTCTCTCTGGACCCAAAGTCAAAAGTTGGAGTATTGAAAACTTATCTCTGCACGGGAACTCCTGTCCTGAATTTGAGCTGTGGTCACACCCTGATTCAGTCTGCCTGGCTTCTTCTAAACCTTTGGTGTATGTCTGCCTAAACTGGCCCTAGGGAGAGGAGAACCCTCCAGTGTGCTTGAGGTAGAGAGAAGCCGATGACATCTCTGCCTAATATCATTGCCTGACTCTGGTTATCTCTAGAGCCTGAATACCTCCAAAGGCATCTAATCTTCAAGGAGCATTCTGAAGAGCTTTCTCTAACAAGGGAGACCCAGTGTCTTGGATCACATGCCTAACCTGGTAAAACAGAAAAAATGCTTCCCAATTTCAGCTTTATTTTAATAATATTTAATTGCAGAAAGAAGAGAGTGCAAGAGCTCACTAAACGAGTCAGTGGAATCACAGGCTTGGTTCCTTTTCCTCCTTGACCAATCTCCCAGGGAAGGCTTTATCCCATGGGAAATTCAATTTAATTAATTATCTGTTGGGCAGAGTTGGTAGCGGGTTTACTATTCTTTATCATGAATATGCTGAGAGAGGATCAGGAGAGAGAAGGTTACAGTAGGGAGAAAATGAAAATGAGAGAGTTATGATTTTATGACAGCTGGCTGTTTTTTCAAGTCTTAAGTGAGAAAGCTTAACACTGTGCATCAAGTCCTGCCGCAAAAAATATTCAAAGATTGGAATCTGTATCTATGGAGAACTTCTATGATATCTAAGCTCTTCAGTTATTCCAAGCATCTGAAAAACTAGGCTTTTGTATGCTGCTCACAGACTGTGCTAGAGAGTGAAATTTGCTATTTTGGGGTTGGAGTTTTCTTCTAGACTGGTGAATACAATAAACAATGGGTCAGGATAAAGTTCTTTAAGCTTTTACTTCCAGCTGATTTAAACTCATGAACTTTTTAACAGATCTGCCAAAATTTATTCTTCTTTACATTGTGGGGTTTAGTTTGTGTGAAAATACCTTGTAGTCTTCCTCTAAAACAAGAATAAAAACATTATTTAATTATTTACATGGTGGTTTCATGATCTCTAATAAAGAGGAAAGAAAAGAAAATGAGAAGAGAGGAGTGCTAGGAGGGAAGTTCTGTGTGGAAAAATAGCCATTAATATAAAACACATTTTAGATGATAGAAATTACAAAATCTTTTGGATGAGACATGAGTCAGATACTAATACTAAAGACTTCCAAGTCATACATATGCTTAAAATTACACATTTGAATAAATGCAGTGATTGTGTTTGGTTGCATGTAAGCCTTTGCAGGAGTAGGGGCAGGCTACTTAAAAATAACATGTAGCAAGATAAAGAGAGAAAAGATATACAGCTCTGGCTCTAAATCAGTAATCATCTTATCTGCCAAAATCACATGTAATGGACCTTTAGTTCTCTCTTTTACATCCTGTGTTTGAAGAGCCTTACCTTATGAAGATGTCAGGACTAATGCTGTTACAAGGAATATCCTCTGAGAAACACATCCATTTGTGGAGAAATGTGTATTTTATCCATAGTAACTTATATGTATAGCCTGCTATTTATGAATAATTATAACTAATACTCTGTGCTGACGCTGCATTTTTGTGTTGTTATCTTCCAGATGGGAGTTGCTGTAGTGGATTCATCTGTTGCAGGACTGGGTGGTTGTCCCTATGCAAAAGGTGCTACTGGAAATGTAGCCACAGAGGATGTGATATACATGCTTAACGGTCTAGGGATCAATACAGTAAGATATTTTTACTTTCTACTTAAGCCTTTAAGGAAAACAAAAATTTTTTTCTGGAAAACATAAGATACATGCCTGGCAATTACTTGTGTTGTACAATAAAATATTGGGAGCAAACGGTTTTTGCAAACTCAGTCCTTTAACATGGCTTGACACACAATATGAATGATGTTGTCTTCACTAGCAATTTAGAGTAGAACTGGTTTGCGGATTTGACAGGAATTTGAATAACCCCCCTCTCATTACCTGGAGCTATGAGGAACTCAGTAGCAACTGATTTGAGTCATTGCTCTGCCTCAGGAAAAATCACTGCTGTAGACATTGCCCAGAAGGCTGATCAGTGAAAGACTGAGCGGACCTCAGCTTTTTTCACAGAACTTTGGATTTGGTTTATAGCGCTTATTAATTTGTTGTCAATTTTTCTGGCTTCAAAGCAGAAAAAATTTGTGGTGTTTGGAGCCCAAGCACAGAACATTGCTATTTCTCAAATATCCACTTCATATATTTTGAAATTGTACAAAAACTGTTACTGGCTAGCAGGCTTCGCAATCATGTTCTTGGAATAGCAGGCGAAGCAGCTTACCTGCACTGAGCTGCATTTTCGTGAACCTTACCAGTGAGCATCCACACTTCAGGAGCACACAGTTAATATCCCTGGCTTGGTTGGCATGTTAATTATTCTGTATTCCTGGGAATCAAGTAATGCTGCCTTTTCCAAAAAATGTGCTCTCTGGTCTTCCTGTTGGTCATCATTGTTCTGAAATGTGTGTGGTTTGCATTTAAACTACTGCAGGAAGAAACGGAAAAGCCTGATATCTGAAATACAAAGATCTGAATTATTGGGGAGCTTATTACTTGGCTGTCTCTGGCAGTTCAGTGTGGCACGCATGCTGACACTGTTCCTTGATGTAAAAGGATTGTGGAACTTTTTTCTGAATTGTACGTCCCCTGAACACCCTTACATCATATTCAGTACCTTACAGGGTTCACTGTAACGTTTATCTGCTTTCATGTGCTTCTTAAGGAGTTATGGGTAGATGTCAGATACCTGTTCAGAAAAGATTTAATCACAAGTGTCCATTGTACAAGTGGACTCTGTTTTGAAAGGTTCGTAGGTAGGTGCTTTGGGGTAGTTTTTTCGTTAAGAAGTTCTTTATTCTTTTAAAATAACACAGTTCTTTGGAGTGAGGAGGAAAAACGAAGCATTTCATTTTGCATTGCTGGGCACCTTTCAGACTTAGGCTTTCAGTGTACTCTTGGGAAAAACACACATTGACTTCTGACTCATAGCAAAAGGAATCAATTAAATAAAAATGTCCTGACTAAATAAAATATACCTTGCTCCAGGTTGGACAATAAGGTTTACTAATCTGTGAGTGATCTGGTGTCCAAGCAGGAATCTAGCTTGTCTTAAAGGCTGATACCAAATCCCATGAAGAATGTCACTATCAAACATTTAGTTCTTCCTTTTTTAAAAAACCCATAGATTATTCAATAGCAAAACACAAAGCTTTGCTCCTTCACCCTTTTTCTGGTCCATTAAGAGTGTTTTACTGAATGAGAGACATCGAGCCTCAAAACTACCTTAATATATGGGCTTTGGTCTTTGCAGTGTTGGTTGTTTTTTGTACCGTGGCCAATTCTGTAAAACCATTATCACAAAAATCTATTAATTTGTCCCTTTTTGTGTAATGGCACAAAATGAAATTCTAATTATTAATGCTGTCCACCTGCAAGGAGCGCTTTCTCATGTTCCTCTCATCTGTGCATTAAAGCTTTCATTTTGTTGACTCAAGTCACTTAAAGTGTCAACCAAAGGATGGACAGTATTTAAGCATACATTACTGAGTTCAGATTGACTAGGTACATCAAAATAATAATTAATGTTTGTTCTATGCTGTTCTTCAGAACATGTAACCAAGAAGTGATGGATGAAATGAATCTCCAACAGGCTAAATGTGAAATAATTTTCTATCAGAACCCATCTACAGAGAGATTTATTGGTTGTACCATGGCAATGGATAGATAATTATGTCATAGATCATTAATGCTTATGAA